TCTTACAAGAATTTAGGGCGGCCTGGGGGGCAATTGCCTCCCTGCCCCCCGGCCCAGCCCGCCCCTGCCAGCGGCCAACAGCAGACCCAGGTGTCTGCCCGGCCCCAGGTGCCGACGGCCCACCGGGAAATTTCCTGGTATCCCGGTGGGCCAGTCCGGCCCTGATTATTGCCTTTTATTATTCTCGTAATTCTTTTTCATTTTAATGTTTCTTTCCTCACCTTTCTTTGATTCCGATCTTGTTCACCAGTTCATGATACTTTTTACCTTGCTTGCCATGATTAAGCCTTCGGATTCTTGATTGATGGCTTTTGCACTTAGAAGGTTAAAATAAATATATTAAAAGCAAGCACGTAAAATAAATCACGGGTGTCCAATTGAACTGTAGAGTATCTCCCGATTATGTATTTTTTAAACTAAAAATAAAGTAAATCCTTAAACCTGACTAAGGTTATTAATAGTAACGGTAATTATTGTAGTTGTAGAAGGCAGAACTGTCAACCGTTATCTTGATGCCCAGGCATTTCTAGTTATCTGTCACGCCAATACCGATGATGTAATTGTATAAAACTTATTTATACTGATAGCATATTACATCTTCAGACTGCACAAGGAGCACTTTTATCTTCTGGTACATATTTTAAAATGTATTACAAGTTCAGACTGGAGTTTTTACTTAACCTATTAAAGGACAATGCTGTGTGAAAACAATTTAGTCTTTAAGGATCCCTAAATACTTTATTACAACCCAGAATGATTTAGTCTGGTACATATTTTCTCCTGTTCCATATTTCTTTTTACATATTTTAATATATCTTATAGTATATATTTTATAATGTATTACAAGTTCAGACCTGAGTTTTTGCTTGACCCATGAAAGAACAATGCCGGTCAACATTGTACAAACAATCTCGTCGTTAAGGATTCCTAAAAACCTTATTTCAAGTTCAACATGAAATGTTCTACTCATTATCTGGCCATGTCTCCTAACAGGAGAGTCATGCAAGGCTGGGGAATGAATTAGGTAGAGAGTATTGTATATATGCAATGATGACCATTAAAGAAATTAAGACAATGTGAATTAACTTGCACATCCAAGCAAGTCGCAATGGTGAGGACCTTCATGTCTATGGAAAATATAACGAACATATTGAGAAAATAGATATCAAGATAAGTGCTACTTCATAGTGAATACATACACCATGCCTATATCTCATATTCTACTAACAAACAAATAAATTATGAAAGTTCCAAGCATGACAAATACACAGTAGCATCAAAATGTGGCCAGGTCTTCACCTGGATTACTATTTGGAGTTGTAGAGCATTCCTTTTTTGCTGTTTATTACAAATTTTGTCAGTGCGTCTACACCATATACAGGGATAATGCAGGCCATTTGCAAATGCCACAGACACTGAAAAACAGATATATACTGGACCATTACATACAAACAATATACATAATAGGTTAGCATTTATAGAGCTATGATAGCATCTGGAATACTGCATGCCTGGGGCAGCCTTCAGGAAGCCCTTTAGCAGTTGAAATTGTTCCACAAATGGAAGGTTCATCATGGTCATCTTTAACGGTTAAACAAGACAACAGTAAAGATTAGCTACACAAAATCATCACTCAGCAACAGTCAGAAAATACAAACAGACAAGAAGTAAACAATTGAGATGGTCAAATCAAGAAATACCCATTCACATAGTTAAAGAAAGTATTAGTAGTCACATGATGAAATGTATATACACTGGCAATGTGAAGGATAATAGCAATATATTTATATTGTCTCATAGAAAACATTCAATACTTTTTGTGTTTCAAGATTTACAAGTTGCTCCAGTGCCGGCTATACAGGTTCAATCATTGTAAGGTCTACATAGTTACATAGGCTGAAAAAAATGTCCGTCAAGTTCAGCCTTCCTCACATTTGTTTTTTGCTGTTGATCCAAAAGAAGGCACAAAGCCCAGTTTGAAGCACATCCAAGTTTGCAACAAACTTAGAAAAAAATTCCCTCTTGACCCCAGAATGGCAGTCAGATTTATCCTTGGATTAAGAAGCCACAAATAGCCACAAATAGCTCCAACATCACAAACGGCTTTTCATGACTTGGAAACATTGAAATGTAGACTTTCCAGGTAGAAAATAACACCATAGCTGTCACAAGTCCTGTTCCAAAACCTCAGACTAGCCTATGGATACAGACTTAGAAGATATGGTGGCCACACAGTATGCATCATTGGCAAACATACTAAAATGTACCTTGAATAGCTCTCCATGTGTAACCCTGATGTTAATGAAAGTAACAAAGGTGTGATGCTAAAATATTGGTTTACTATAAATCGTTGCTGCACAGTTTCTGAGGCTGCTGTCCCAGAAGTACTTGTAGTAGGGTCCTCCTGCTTTCCCCACCAGGTAATTGTTGGCATATAGGTCAATAATGACTCTATGCCAAAAGAAAATGGAAGAGAGGCAGATCTATTTAAAAAAATGTTTTTAAAAATTATTTAATTTCCACATTTGCTAGCGATTTTATTACAACAAGGTATAGATGGAATGTTAACATACTTTTAGGATGAATAAACTTGTGTGTGTCACATACCTCCCAATATTTTATATTGACAATGAGAGGCACTTATTTTTAGAGCTGTGAGTTAGGGTGTGGCCAGGGGCAGGCTGTTCTGAGACATTTGAGGTGATGTACTAAAAACAATTTATGCAACTAAAATGTAATTTATAACAAGAACAATATATCTTATTTATAAAGACTGATTTCTAAACAGTCTCTGTTAGACACTCAGACATAATTAAAAATTAAATAAGGTAGGCACACTCAATATGAAATATATGCAAGCTCCCAAGTGGAGCTCTATGAAAATACAATATGGGGTGCTCACTCACGTAAGGCTTTATCCCCAAAAGCCCAAATACATATAAATAACAATGGAGTAAGGATCACAACCATCAATAGTAATAAAACAATCTTTATTAAGTGGGTATACTCTATAAAAATATCACATAACATAAAGATCCAAAATATAGGATCATAGCACGCTATACAGCAATAATCAGAAAAATTCTGAATATATATGTATGTACGCCAAAAGCGTCTTATATGAATAACAGAGTCTCAATATACAAAAATTAAATAACAGTCTAATCCAACCCCACAAACATAGACATAAATATACAAAAATATATATAACAATAAGCATACCAGACCTAGTGAGAAGCAGGGACAGAGTCAGTCACAAAAACACCTTGGCTTACATACATATATATTCAGAATTTTTTTGATCATTGCTGTATAGCGTGCTATGATCCTATATTTTGGATCTTTATGTTATGTGATATTTTTATAGAGTATACCCACTTAATAAAGATTGTTTTATTTCTATTGATGGTTGTGCTCCTTAGTCCATTGTTATTTATACACTCAGACATACCAACAATATGGAACTCCTAGAAAAGAGGAACATTTGGAGGCAAAGAGGGATTTGGGCTCAAAATAGCAACTGTCCTTCCGAAATCGGGACACTTGGGAGGAATAGTATCATGGCAGATTCAATTACACAGCATAACAAACAGACTTAAAGTACGATTAAGAATAAAGGGTCAAGATAGAATGCAATTACTATCATCTTCATTCACCTCCAAAGCATAGTCAACAAGGAATCACTGAAGAATGACCATACTGCTCCATCAGGCACAATCATTGGAACACAGGAAAGCCGGGCGATGTTGCAGTTTACACCTGTAACCTCTCTCGTTATATTGTGGTGTTGCCTTAAAAAGATATGGTTTTTGGCATGAGTGTTGCTAGCTGACAAAAAAACAAGAACTTTTGTCAAAGTGTACATTTTGTGGTTCCTCTAACATATACTGACTTAAGCTCCTTCCATAAGATAACCCTATCTCATACCCTAAAACCCAACATGTTCTCTGAATCACATTATGGCACCAAATATTTCAATAAATTCTATATTATTATATTGACATAATTCAACATTTTATAATATTGCACACTTAACAACATTATGAATAATCATTGAGTAAAACACGGAGGGTATGGCCTCTCTTGGGGTACTGCCAGTTACCAATTAATCAAAAATAAATGTTAAGCTGTCTGCACATGCGCTTCAACAGATTGTGCATACATAGAGCTGGGTTGATCACTGTACAGAATATGATTTTCATTTTCAGACATTAGAAATGCAGCACTGTGGGATACACCACCCAAGTTGTTTAAAATGTGCTATAGAGAAAGTATGAAGATAATGTCTCAGCTAGTGTGCATGAACCCTGGTTCTGTCCACAGTCCAAGTAATACCAAGAAAAAATGAATGACTTGACAAAGAACAGGTGGGACGCAATGTTTTTGTTTGCCACCTTCAAATAAAAGATCATAAGACAAAAGTTTGTGCTAGTCAATTTTAATTTTATGTGTGAGGCATGATTACATATTATAAATTAACTGGATGTTATCTGCCATACATGTTTGCCTTTCTTCATATAAAACATTTACACACACTTCATATTATGGGATGCCCCAGATTAGTATGGTGATCCAAGAAGTAAGGACAGCTCCCGTGATGTTAATTAAACAGAGCAAGACAATATTTCCTATGTCTCTCTGCTTTCATCAGTATAGTAATGGTAACTGACATAAAATGCATCCACAATTGAAATCATCAATATCAGGGACTGAGATTGTAATAGGGAGAGGGCATATTGACATATGAATCTTCTAACAAAAAGGAAGAAAATGACATAATGTTGAATTATCTCCTGTTCCATGGGTTATATGTTAACTCTTTGGCTGGCAAAGCAATGTTTAGAACATTAAATGACTGGAGGGAGGAGCGTTATAAACTAGCATAGACGTGTGCA